CTGTTGGGTCTCTGTAATTAATGTTAAAGAGTTCGGTCTAGACCTGCTCTATTTGAAAAGTGTCCTGAGATAACTTCTGTTATGAATTGGCGCTATACAAATAAAATTGAATTGAAATTGAATTGAATTATGGGAGATTTTTATGGACCTCCGCCATTCGCGGTTTCAAATGTAGGATGATCTTTCAGACAGCTTGGCCAGTAAAAATTGTAATAGGGATGCTCGATATTGGCTTTTCTGCCGGTATCCAATATTCTGATATTGTCCAACTCTCAATTTCGTTATATCAATATCACCCGATACCGATGCAGGCTTTTTACACCAAAACTGTAACAACATAACATATCTCCTATTGTGGAATTAACACATTATGACTAATTTTATTGTGATGCCCCACTGGATGCATACATAAATACAACATGGCTTTCCAAATGTAAACACTGTCTGTGCAAAATAAGAGAACAACTTCAACTTTCATTGTATTAATACTGAAAAGAGCGCTAACGCTAATTGCTAGCTACGCGCTAATCGCTAGCTAAGCGCTTATCGCTAGCTAAGCGCTAACTTTGGTTAATGTGTTTGTGTTAATATTAAAATCATTCAGCTTTAAATTGTTTGCTTGTTAGCCACCGTTAGCAACCAACCAGTCTAGTGTAGTTGTTGTTGTTATATGTCATCTAGCGCGCGCCGGTAAACGTCCCATGCTGCGTTCATGCAGGCTCGGAAATGTTGAAGCCTACAGAACAAACATCGGTTATAAAAACCCAATACCGATAATTCCCGATATTAAATTTTTTTGTGAATATCAGCCAATAATATCGGAGGGCTGATATTATCAAACATCCCTAATTTTTAATGTATAAAACTAGCGAATTTAACATTATTAGGAAACACTCTTTTAACTTTCACTGTTATGCAGATGATACGCAGTTATATCTATCGATCAAGCCCAATGAAATTAATCAATTATCTAAATTACAAACATGTCTTAAGGACATAAAATCCTGGATGACCTGCAATTTTCTGATGTTAAACTCGAAAAAAACGAAATTCTTGTTCTTGGCCCCAAAAACCTTAGAGACTCACTTGTCTGTCTGTCTGTCTGTCTCTCTCTCTCTGTCTCTCTCTCGCTCTCTCTCTCTCTCTCTCTCTCTCTCTCTCTCTCTCTCTCACCACAACTGGTCGAGACAGACAACCACCCACCTAGAGCCGGAGGATCTGTCCTAGGTTTCTGCCTTTTAACAGGCAGTGTTTCCTTACCCCGTCGCCAAGTGCTTGCTCATGGTGGTACTGTTGGGACTCTGTAAATAATTTCATGAGTTCAGTCTAGACCTGCTCTATTTGAAAAGTGTCCTGAGATAACTTTTGTTATGAATTGGTGCTATACAAATAAAATTGAATTGAACTGAATTAAATGCCGACCCTATTACCTACCGAGGGAATTTACTGCTGTGTTTTTGGCCGCTGTTTACATTCATCCACGAGCCAACTCATCGGCAGCGCTCAGTGAACTCCATGACGTCATCAGCGCGCTAGAGACGGCTCACCCCGATGCAGTTTTTATTGTTGCCGGCGACTTCGACCAGTGCAACTACGGACTGTGCTCCCCAAATATCATCAACATGTGGACATTCCCACCCGAAAGAAGAACACACCGGACCATGTTTACAGTAACATACATGGTGCATACAAGGCTGCACCCCGCCCCCACTTCGTCCACTCAGACCACATATCACTCTTCATGTATCCGGCTTATAGACAGAGACTAAAACAATCAAACCCTGTCACCAGACAGGTCAAACTCTGGACCACAGAGACTGAGAGCATCCTGCACGACTGTTTCGCTCAGACAGACTGGGATGTGTTTAAAGCTGCAGCCACTCTGGAGGACTCTTCTTTCAGCATACAGGACTATGCTGAATATGTGACTGGGTACATTAGCACTTGTGTTGATAACATCATGCCCACCACACAAGTCAGGAAGTTCCCCAACCAGAAGCCCTGGATCAACAGTCAGGTATGACACATGCTGCGTACTTGCTCCCTTGCTTTCAAATCAGGAAATGAGGCGGAGTACAAAGCTGCGAGGTACGGACTGAGAAAAGCCATCACAGCAGCCAAGAGGCAGTATAGAGAGAAGCTGAACAGCTTCTACACTACTGCTGACCCAGGGCAGATGTGGCAAGGCCTGCAGCACATCACTGAATACAGGACCACCACCAACACTATAAGCTCCACAGACAGCCTGCCGGATGATCTCAACACCTTTTACACCCGGTTTGAGACCTCCAGCCACAACACAGAGAGGAGGCCTGCACACACCCAGACTCCCCAGACGGCTCAACACCCCTCCCCTCCCCTCCCCCAACTGTTTCAACAGGCCAGGTACACAGAGCACTGAGGAGGATTAATGGTGCTATCCATTTTTCTCGTGAACTCGGAACCCGAGTTGGAAAGTGTAAATCTTGCAGCTATCTCGCGACATTTCACCGAGACACACCGCCTTTTGGTCGGAATTTCAGCCGTTCAGCTCGGGGTACCCTGAGGTCATGTACGACCCTCAAAACAAATATGGCAGCGCCCATATTAAGATGTATTTTCTTTGTATTTGTACTACGTTGGTCGTTTTAATGTCGATTATAAATGCTCTTACACACTGTTTACATTGCTGCTTTAGTCCGGTCACCAGTTTATGCATTGCACGGTGTTGCTGTGCGTGCAATACAATGTAAAGTTTTGTTTTCGAGCTGGTTTGCTAAATAGGCTAATGTAACTAACTAGCCTGCCACTGCCACTGGAGGCCCCTGGTGGCCCCTGGTGGCCCCTAGTGGCTCGAGACAAACGCCACAGCACTTGTTGAAATTGAAATAGGCGAAAATGGCAAAATATTATTGAAATGTAAGACTTGCAATAACGGAATTACTTGAAATGTTAGTGTTTCTGTAAAAAAACATGAGCTTGTTTAGATGAGCCACAAACAATAACAACACAGCTGCTGCACTTCTTTCCGACTCGTATTGCCCAAAGACAAACTGGAACGCTATAAGTGGTACAAGCAAGGCAATGAGACAAATGGATAGCACCATAACCCCCGAAAGGCAGGAGGACCAGACAACATCCCGGGGCGGGCCCTCAGAGCATGTGCTAATGAGCTGGCTGACGTTCTCACCTCCATATTCAACCTCTCCCTCAGCCAGAGCATTGTTCCCACCTGCTTCAAGACCACAACAATTGTTCCCCTCCTCAAGAAAAGCCCACCCACCTGTCTGGACGACTACAGGCCAGTAGAACTCACTCCAATCATCGCAAGGTGCTTCGAGAAAGTGGTGATGGCCCACATCCAGAACAGCCTACCAGACACACTGGACCCCCTGCAATTTGCATACCGGCCGAACAGGTCCACCTCAGACGCCATCACTGTTACACTCCACTATTCCCTATCCAACCTGGAAAACAAACTCCTACATCAGGATTCTCTTTGTGGATTACAGCTCAGCATTTAATACAGTCATCCCCCACAAACTCACTCTCAAACTGCTCACACTTGGCCTGCACCCCACCCTCTGCAACTGGCTCCTAGACTTTCTGACTGGCAGGCCCCTGTCTGTCAGGATTGGTAATAGGACTTCAGCCAGCATCATCACCAACACTGGCACCCCTCAGGGATGTGTTCTCAGCCCCATCCTCTACACCCTGTTCAACCATGACTGTGTCGCCTCCCACAAGGACAACATCATCCTGAAGTTCGCGGATGACACTGCAGTGATCGGTCGCATCACTGGGGGTGACGAAGCAGCCTACAGGAGGGAGGTGGCCGGTCTAGTGGCATGGTGTGATGACAACAACCTCTCCCTCAACACAAACAAGACAAGGGAGATGATAGTGGACATGAGGAAGGAGAGGAGACCTCATCATCCACTGTCTATCCGGGAGCTTGAAGAGGAGAGGGTGAGCAGTTTCAAATACCTGGGTGTCCACATCAGTGAGGACCTCACCTGGACACTGAACACCTCGCAGCTGGTTAAGAAGGCCCAACAACGGCTGTATTTCCTGAGGAGGCTGAGGAAGTTTGGCATGTCGCCCAGGATCCTCTCTGCAGAGCATCTACCACCGCAGAGTCCACAGGAGAGCTGCCTCCATGCTCAGAGACCCCACCCATCCACAACATGGACTGTTCACACTTCTACCCTCAGGCCAGAGGTACAGAAGTTTGAAATGCAAAACAACGAGACTCAAAAACTCTTTCTTCCCCTCTGCAATCAGACTCCTGAACAGCTGACAGGAGTCACATCAATGTACCACCTTGTCACCTTACACCTGTACTGCTGTTTACAACTGCGCTCTTGCACAACTGTTTACTGTTTACATTCCATGGTATTCATTGCACATTGCACATCAGACACTTTTAAAATTACTGTAATATTGAGTTATTTTTATTTATTTTTTACTAATGTGTTTTTTTACTATTCTATAATTGGGTAATATTGTGGGTTTTTTTGTGTTACTTATTGTACTTAATGCGTCGGTATCAGGGTGGACAGCACAGCAAAGAAAGAATTTCATTGCACAGAGGAAACTTGCGTTCTTTTGTTTCATATGACAATAAAAATCTTGAATCTTGAATTGAATTGAATCGGTCAGTTGAATGTCTCGTTGAAGTCATGGAAGTTTTACAGCACATCTTGGCTGATGTTTGGGAGTGTGTGTGGGCAAAGTTAATTGGGACTGAATATGATATATTCTATATTTCATAAGTTTGATGATTAAAAGCTCTCTCTCTCTCTCTCTCTCTCTCTCTCTCTCTCTCTCTCTCCCTCTCTCCCTCTCCCACCCACCTAGAGTCCGGGTCTGTCCGAGGTGTCTGCGTCTTTAAAATCCGTTTTTCCTTGCCGCTGTCTCCAAGGTGTTGCTCATGGTGGGAACTGTTGGGTCTCTGTAAATAATGAGTACGGTCTAGATGGTGCTCAGTGAGTTTCTGTTATTTAGTGAGGGGATGGACGTCTGAACCAAAAGTTCATATTTATTTAAAATACTTTTACAGAGAGCAGCAGAACACGTAACACAGTCAAAAAAATCACCTGAGCAGGTGAACTCGTTAATGGTTAGGCTCGTTCAGATGGATGACAGTGATGGTGATGTCATCGCGGTACCTCCTTGCCAGCTCTGGCGGCAGACTCAGCATCTTGGACAGACGGTTTGGCGCCACCGCTCCGTACCCATCGTCCCCAAGAGCGTGGCGGAGCAGGTGGGTGGCAGCGTTCTGGTCCTCCAGCACCGACAGGACCCGGCCCCTCCTCTCCAGCAGGAGGCGCTGCAGGCTGCCCAGCGTCACGCCTGTGCCGGGAAATATGGGTCTCTGCTGCTGAAGGCCTGTACAGCAAGAAAGAGCTTCCACTGATTACAGGGACATCGACAAGAAGTAAATCTCTGTTCTTAACCATCCGAGCTGCTCTGACCAGGAGCTGAATGATGAATCTCTCTGGATCTTAAATTGTTATTAGCAAAGGTAACGCTGGTGGTGTCAGGGTGGGAACTACAGAGGATCCAGGGGCAGCTCAGCTCCTCTTAACACACAAGCTCCCCTGAAAACATTATTTGTCAAATTTGGACAATTTCAGCCACTCCAGGATTTCACAGGCTTTTTTTAAAAATTGTTTCGACCTAAAAAGTCTGATTTCTAAAAAGTTGTGATGCATGTCGTTTTAGGCACTTTTTTACGATGGAATTGCAGCAGAAAGTGAAATAAGGCAACTTGTTCAGAGGGTCAGTGTGAGACGTTTGTGTCCCAGGCGTCTGCATCCTCAACATTAGAAACAAGGAAGTGAGTTTGGAGACTCAATATTTTGTGCAGGAAACTACGATTAGTGAAACTTGCGGAAACTTGCGGAAACTTGCAGTGATGCAAAATTCACAGAAATTGGTTGAATTTGCATTATTTGTTGCCAATGCAAATTCCTTGAGGGACTGATCAATATGCTGTTTTTTAAATGCATTTGTATTTTTTTATATTGTCATTATTATGGATTATGTGTGAATTTGGGCTACTATTGATGTATGATTTGTGCATGGGATGACACTAATTCACTTATACTATACTACTAATAAACACAGAAGCACAATATCATTAACTTCAGATCAGATAATATCGAAAATATCAGAAATTATCAGAAAATATCAGAAAAAAAACAGTAAAAAAAATGAGCATCCCTTAAAGGGACAAATAGAGAGTGCAGAGATGTCACCAAACACAGGATAGATAGATCTATATGATATTGACATATTGATGTTATGTTTGGTGAGAAATGAATAAAGGGTGAATGTGTCACGTAGCGTAAAAGCGCTTTGAGTGGTCGGAAGACTAGAAAGGCTCTATACAAGTACAGGTCCATCTACCATTTTACCAAATGATATTTAAGATATATATGTACAAGAATAAGAACTTCAGCAGTATAATGGAATATAGCTGCTGTAAACGCAGCGTCAGCAGACAGGAGCAGTCGATCCAGGAGGATCTGACCTGTGTGTGTTTCAGCTGATCTAAAAGCAGACATTAATTATATTCTTTGCTCTCACCCAGATGCGCTCTCAGATACCGAAAGGAGCACTGATTGATAGTAGTACCAATGTGATTTGGTCGGTACCCTTAAAAGCACCAAGTTTGGCACTAAACCCAAGACATCACAACTATCTCTCCAGAGTGAATGATCCCCAGGTAGCACGGCTTTATAACGTCTGCATCGCGGTTTGTCTTCGTATTCCACCGAGCGGAGCATCTTCAGAGCCTGTTGTGCCTGACATTGTTTACTTGTGTATTTTGTCCTTAAAGTAGATTCAAACTCTAACCTGCCTCTGACTTCCTGTCTGGTGCCACAATGTTGATGTAACATTAAACTCGATCTGTATGCAGTATTTTATTTAGAAAATTTACCCAATTCTTTTTGCCGTGTCTTTGTCTGACTTCCTGCCAGTGTGATCTGCTCTGTGTTGCTTTGCGCGAAAGGGTTGTAGACTAGCCGCATATTCACAGAGCAGAACAGAGAGACTATAAAGACTTGTACTTCTACTTATTGTGTCTGTGGTTCAGACTTCAGTCTGGGTTCAGGAGTTTGGTGAACTCAGTGAGGATCTGACCTGTCAGTTGTTCCCCCACTAGCCGGACAACCGTCTGTCTGTGCATCAGCTCCCAGAGTCCATCAGTGGCTAAGACAAGGAACTTGTCAACGGGTCTGATGCGGTGTCGGGTGACCTCCGGCTGGGCACTCAGGTAGGGTGGGGTCAGGTAGTGTGGCGGCAGCACCCGGGCCGCTTCGCTGACTGCGGACAGGATGTCTGGTCGTGTTTCGTAGACTCGACTCAGCATCTCTGCACTCCACTTGAAGCGGACGTCACCAAATGCCCTGAAGGGTAGCAGGAGACCCAACAGGCGGTCATGGCGGACCACCGTCCTCCGCTCAGATGACGGGTGTTCCCCCAGAATCCTTTGCAGCTCGTCTGGGTTCTGCGCATTGTGGTCGTTGGTGAGGCTGACTGCCGACCAGTGGCCGTTCGGCTCCTGGATGCCAAGGACGGCCCGGCTGTCACCCAGGTTTGCCACGTGCAGGACCCCATTGGATACATGAGCGACGCAGGCCGTGCAGCCGGACAGCGCCGCCCGCAGGGGGGAGGACAGAGAGAATGCCTCCCCAGGGTGAGACATCCGTCTGTGGACAGAGAGAGAGGATTCACCAGGGGGTGTAAGATTATGGCAGGAATATGTTGTTTCAATGAACACCTGAAAGTGATATAGCGCCTTCAGTCAGGATCAGTTTACTCAGGTTTTTCTTGCTCACTATGTTTTATCCAACATAAGGACACTGTCATCATGGGTAAATCATGGGTGATGAGCTGACATGGGTTGTATCAGGTAGTGCTTCTAGAGTTTATTTACAGTTCTCATCAATGTTGGTATTTTCAGAATCTGTGGTGAGCTAATTTCACTAATTAACAGGTTAGCAACAAAATGCTCAATTTTCTCTTAAAGAAAAAGAAGATCAGAAATGTGGACCTTGGTGAGGACATGGACAGGTGGACCTGGGCCTCCACAGAAAGGTCGTAGTCAAGACGACGGAAAGCGCTGACCAGTGCTGATGTCACTTTTGCGCTGTCCTGCAGCCAATCAGAGAGGAGACAGATAATGACATTGCAACACATGAAAGCTTTAAAGCTGCATTCACTTCCTGTCTGAGCCAATGAAGGACTCAGAACTCGAGACGTCCTGTTGTGTTTGTACAGTGTTAATAAAGTTGTGTGTTTGTACAGTGATAATAAAGTTGTGTGTTTGTACAGTGTTAATAACGTTGTGTTTGTACACTGTTAATAAAGTTGTGTTTGTACAGTGTTAATAAAGTTGTGTTTGTACAGTGTTAATAAAGTTGTGTTTGTACAGTGTTAATAACGTTGTGTTTGTACACTGTTAATAAAGTTGTGTTTGTACAGTGTTAATAAAGTTGTGTTTGTACAGTGTTAATAAAGTTGTGTGTTTGTACAGTGTTAATAAAGTTGTGTGTCTGTACAGTGATAATAAAGTTGTGTTTGTACAGTGTTAATAAAGTTGTGTTTGTACAGTGTTAATAAAGTTGTGTGTCTGTACAGTGTTAATAAAGTTGTGTGTTTGTACAGTGTTAATAAAGTTGTGTTTGTACAGTGTTAATAAAGTTGTGTTTGTACAGTGTTAATAAAGTTGTGTGTTTGTACAGTGTTAATAAAGTTGTGTTTGTACAGTGATAATAAAGTTGTGTTTGTACAGTGTTAATAAAGTTGTGTGTTTGTACAGTGTTAATAAAGTTGTGTGTTTGTACAGTGTTAATAAAGTTGTGTTTGTACAGTGTTAATAAAGTTGTGTGTCTGTACAGTGTTAATAAAGTTGTGTGTTTGTACAGTGATAATAAAGTTGTGTGTTTGTACAGTGTTAATAAAGTTGTGTTTGTACAGTGATAATAAAGTTGTGTGTTTGTACAGTGTTAATAAAGTTGTGTGTTTGTACAGTGTTAATAAAGTTGTGTTTGTACAGTGATAATAAAGTTGTGTGTTTGTACAGTGATAATAAAGTTGTGTGTTTGTACAGTGTTAATAAAGTTGTGTGTCTGTACAGTGATAATAAAGTTGTGTTTGTACAGTGTTAATAAAGTTGTGTTTGTACAGTGTTAATAAAGTTGTGTTTGTACAGTGATAATAAAGTTGTGTGTTTGTACAGTGTTAATAAAGTTGTGTTTGTACAGTGTTAATAAAGTTGTGTGTTTGTACAGTGTTAATAAAGTTGTGTGTTTGTACAGTGTTAATAAAGTTGTGTTTGTACAGTGTTAATAAAGTTGTGTGTTTGTACAGTGTTAATAAAGTTGTGTTTGTACAGTGTTAATAAAGTTGTGTGTTTGTACAGTGTTAATAAAGTTGTGTGTTTGTACAGTGTTAATAAAGTTGTGTTTGTACAGTGTTAATAAAGTTGTGTGTTTGTACAGTGTCAATAAAGTTGTGTGTTTGTACAGTGTTAATAAAGTTGTGTTTGTACAGTGATAATAAAGTTGTGTGTTTGTACAGTGTTAATAAAGTTGTGTGTTTGTACAGTGTTAATAAAGTTGTGTTTGTACATTGATAATAAAGTTGTTTCTTTGTACAGTGATAATAAAGTTGTGTGTTTGTACAGTGTTAATAAAGTTGTGTTTGTAATGTGATAATAAAGTTGTGTTTGTACAGTGTTAATAAAGTTGTGTGTTTGTACAGTGTCAATAAAGTTGTGTGTTTGTACAGTGTTAATAAAGTTGTGTTTGTACAGTGTTAATAAAGTTGTGTCTGTACAGTGTTAATAAAGTTGTGTTTGTACAGTGATAATAAAGTTGTGTTTGTACAGTGTTAATAAAGTTTTGTGTTTGTACAGTGTTAATAAAGTTGTGTTTGTACCGTGTTAATAAAGTTGTGTGTTTGTACAGTGTTAATAAAGTTGTGTGTTTGTACAGTGTTAATAAAGTTGTGTTTGTACAGTGTTAATAAAGTTGTGTGTTTGTACAGTGTTAATAAAGTTGTGTGTTTGTACAGTGATAATAAAGTTGTGTTTGTATAGTGTTAATAAAGTTGTGTGTTTGTACAGTGATAATAAAGTTGTGTTTGTATAGTGTTAATAAAGTTGTGTGTTTGTACAGTGATAATAAAGTTGTGTGTTTGTACAGTGATAATAAAGTTGTGTGTGTTTGTGCAGTGTTAATAAAGTTGTGTGTTTGTACAGTGTTAATAAAGTTTTGTGTTTGTACAGTGTTAATAAAGTTGTGTTTGTACCGTGTTAATAAAGTTGTGTGTTTGTACAGTGTTAATAAAGTTGTGTGTTTGTACAGTGTTAATAAAGTTGTGTTTGTAATGTGATAATAAAGTTGTGTATTTGTACAGTGTTAATAAAGTTGTGTGTTTGTACAGTGATAATAAAGTTGTGTTTGTACAGTGTTAATAAAGTTGTGTGTTTGTACAGTGATAATAAAGTTGTGTTTGTACAGTGTTAATAAAGTTGTGTGTCTGTACAGTGTTAATAAAGTTGTGTTTGTACAGTGTTAATAAAGTTGTGTCTGTACAGTGTTAATAAAGTTGTGTTTGTACAGTGTTAATAAAGTTGTGTTTGTACAGTGATAATAAAGTTGTGTGTTTGTACAGTGTTAATAAAGTTGTGTGTTTGTACAGTGATAATAAAGTTGTGTGTTTGTACAGTGATAATAAAGTTGTGTGTTTGTACAGTGTTAATAAAGTTGTGTGTTTGTACAGTGTTAATAAAGTTGTGTGTTTGTACAGTGTTAATAAAGTTGTGTGTTTATACAGTGTTAATAAAGTTGTGTGTCTGTACAGTGTTAATAAAGTTGTGTTTGTACAGTGTTAATAAAGTTGTGTTTGTACAGTGATAATAAAGTTGTGTGTTTGTACAGTGTTAATAAAGTTGTGTTTGTACAGTGATAATAAAGTTGTGTGTTTGTACAGTGTTAATAAAGTTGTGTGTTTGTACAGTGTTAATAAAGTTGTGTTTGTACAGTGTTAATAAAGTTGTGTGTTTGTACAGTGTTAATAAAGTTGTGTGTTTGTACAGTGATAATAAAGTTGTGTTTGTACAGTGTTAATAAAGTTGTGTGTTTGTACAGTGATAATAAAGTTGTGTTTGTACAGTGTTAATAAAGTTGTGTGTCTGTACAGTGTTAATAAAGTTGTGTTTGTACAGTGTTAATAAAGTTGTGTCTGTACAGTGTTAATAAAGTTGTGTTTGTACAGTGTTAATAAAGTTGTGTTTGTACAGTGATAATAAAGTTGTGTTTGTACAGTGTTAATAAAGTTTTGTGTTTGTACAGTGTTAATAAAGTTGTGTGTTTGTACCGTGTTAATAAAGTTGTGTGTTTGTACAGTGTTAATAAAGTTGTGTGTTTGTACAGTGTTAATAAAGTTGTGTTTGTACAGTGTTAATAAAGTTGTGTGTTTGTACAGTGATAATAAAGTTGTGTTTGTACAGTGTTAATAAAGTTGTGTGTTTGTACAGTGTTAATAAAGTTGTGTGTTTGTACAGTGATAATAAAGTTGTGTGTGTTTGTACAGTGATAATAAAGTTGTGTGTTTGTACAGTGTTAATAACGTTGTGTTTGTACAGTGTTAATAAAGTTGTGTTTGTACAGTGTTAATAAAGTTGTGTGTTTGTACAGTGTTAATAAAGTTGTGTTTGTACAGTGTTAATAAAGTTGTGTGTTTGTACAGTGATAATAAAGTTGTGTTTGTACAGTGTTAATAAAGTTGTGTGTTTGTACAGTGTTAATAAAGTTGTGTTTGTACAGTGTTAATAAAGTTGTGTGTTTGTACAGTGTTAATAAAGTTGTGTGTTTGTACAGTGATAATAAAGTTGTGTGTTTGTACAGTGATAATAAAGTTGTGTGTGTTTGTACAGTGATAATAAAGTTGTGTTTGTATAGTGTTAATAAAGTTGTGTGTTTGTACAGTGATAATAAAGTTGTGTGTTTGTACAGTGTTAATAAAGTTGTGTGTGTTTGTACAGTGTTAATAAAGTTGTGTGTTTGTACAGTGATAATAAAGTTGTGTGTGTTTGTACAGTGTTAATAAAGTTGTGTGTTTGTACAGTGATAATAAAGTTGTGTGTTTGTACAGTGATAATAAAGTTGTGTGTGTTTGTGCAGTGTTAATAAAGTTGTGTGTTTGTACAGTGTTAATAAAGTTTTGTGTTTGTACAGTGTTAATAAAGTTGTGTTTGTACCGTGTTAATAAAGTTGTGTGTTTGTACAGTGTTAATAAAGTTGTGTGTTTGTACATGTTAATAAAGTTGTGTTTGTACAGTGTTAATAAAGTTGTGTGTTTGTACAGTGATAATAAAGTTGTGTTTGTACAGTGTTAATAAAGTTGTGTGTCTGTACAGTGTTAATAAAGTTGTGTTTGTACAGTGTTAATAAAGTTGTGTCTGTACAGTGTTAATAAAGTTGTGTTTGTACAGTGTTAATAAAGTTGTGTTTGTACAGTGATAATAAAGTTGTGTTTGTACAGTGTTAATAAAGTTTTGTGTTTGTACAGTGTTAATAAAGTTGTGTTTGTACCGTGTTAATAAAGTTGTGTGTTTGTACAGTGTTAATAAAGTTGTGTGTTTGTACAGTGTTAATAAAGTTGTGTTTGTACAGTGTTAATAAAGTTGTGTGTTTGTACAGTGTTAATAAAGTTGTGTGTTTGTACAGTGATAATAAAGTTGTGTGTGTTTGTACAGTGATAATAAAGTTGTGTGTTTGTACAGTGATAATAAAGTTGTGTGTGTTTGTGCAGTGTTAATAAAGTTGTGTGTTTGTACAGTGTTAATAAAGTTTTGTGTTTGTACAGTGTTAATAAAGTTGTGTGTTTGTACAGTGTTAATAAAGTTGTGTGTTTGTACAGTGATAATAAAGTTGTGTGTTTGTACAGTGATAATAAAGTTGTGTGTGTTTGTACAGTGATAATAAAGTTGTGTTTGTATAGTGTTAATAAAGTTGTGTGTTTGTACAGTGATAGTAAAGTTGTGTGTTTGTACAGTGATAATAAAGTTGTGTGTTTGTACAGTGTTAATAAAGTTGTGTTTGTACCGTGTTAATAAAGTTGTGTGTTTGTACAGTGTTAATAAAGTTGTGTGTTTGTATAGTGTTAATAAAGTTGTGTGTTTGTACAGTGATAGTAAAGTTGTGTGTTTGTACAGTGATAATAAAGTTGTGTGTTTGTACAGTGTTAATAAAGTTGTGTTTGTACCGTGTTAATAAAGTTGTGTGTTTGTACAGTGTTAATAAAGTTGTGTGTTTGTACATGTTAATAAAGTTGTGTTTGTAATGTGATAATAAAGTTGTGTGTTTGTACAGTGTTAATAAAGTTGTGTGTTTGTATAGTGATAATAAAGTTGTGTTTGTACAGTGTTAATAAAGTTTTGTGTTTGTACAGTGTTAATAAAGTTGTGTTTGTACCGTGTTAATAAAGTTGTGTGTTTGTACAGTGTTAATAAAGTTGTGTGTTTGTACAGTGTTAATAAAGTTGTGTTTGTACAGTGTTAATAAAGTTGTGTGTTTGTACAGTGTTAATAAAGTTGTGTGTTTGTACAGTGATAATAAAGTTGTGTGTGTTTGTACAGTGATAATAAAGTTGTGTTTGTATAGTGTTAATAAAGTTGTGTGTTTGTACAGTGATAATAAAGTTGTGTGTGTTTGTGCAGTGTTAATAAAGTTGTGTGTTTGTACAGTGTTAATAAAGTTTTGTGTTTGTACAGTGTTAATAAAGTTGTGTTTGTACCGTGTTAATAAAGTTGTGTGTTTGTACAGTGTTAATAAAGTTGTGTGTTTGTACAGTGTTAATAAAGTTGTGTTTGTAATGTGATAATAAAGTTGTGTGTTTGTACAGTGTTAATAAAGTTGTGTGTTTGTACAGTGATAATAAAGTTGTGTTTGTACAGTGTTAATAAAGTTGTGTGTTTGTACAGTGTTAATAAAGTTGTGTTTTTGTACAGTGTTAATAAAGTTGTGTTTGTAGAGTGTTAATAAAGTTGTGTGTTTGTACAGTGTTAATAAAGTTGTGTTTGTACAGGTTTAATAAAGTTGTGTGTTTGTACAGTGTTAATAACGTTGTGTTTGTACAGTGTTAATAAAGTTGTGTTTGTACAGTGTTAATAAAGTTGTGTGTTTGTACAGTGTTAATAAAGTTGTGTTTGTACAGTGTTAATAAAGTTGTGTGTTTGTACAGTGATAATAAAGTTGTGTTTGTACAGTGTTAATAAAGTTGTGTGTTTGTACAGTGTTAATAAAGTTGTTTGTACAGTGTTAATAAAGTTGTGTGTTTGTACAGTGTTAATAAAGTTGTGTGTTTGTACAGTGATAATAAAGTTGTGTGTTTGTACAGTGTTAATAAAGTTGTGTGTCTGTACAGTGTTAATAAAGTTGTGTGTTTGTACAGTGTTAATAAAGTTGTGTTTGTACAGTGTTAATAAAGTTGTGTGTTTGTACAGTGTTAATAAAGTTGTGTTTGTACAGTGTTAATAAAGTTGTGTGTTTGTACAGTGTTAATAAAGTTGTGTGTGTACAGTGTTAATAAAGTTGTGTGTTTGTACAGTGTTAATAAAGTTGTGTGTTTGTACAGTGTTAATAAAGTTGTGTTTGTACAGTGTTAATAAAGTTGTGTGTTTGTACAGTGATAATAAAGTTGTGTGTTTGTACAGTGTTAATAAAGTTGTGTGTTTGTACAGTGTTAATAAAGTTGTGTTTGTACAGTGTTAATAAAGTTGTGTGTTTGTACAGTGATAATAAAGTTGTGTGTTTGTACAGTGATAATAAAGTTGTGTGTTTGTACAGTGTTAATAAAGTTGTGTTTGTACAGTGTTAATAAAGTTGTGTTTGTACAGTGTTAATAAAGTTGTGTGTTTGTACAGTGTTAATAAAGTTGTGTGTGTACAGTGTTAATAAAGTTGTGTGTTTGTACAGTGATAATAAAGTTGTGTGTTTGTACAGTGATAATAAAGTTGTGTGTTTGTACAGTGTTAATAAAGTTGTGTTTGTACAGTGTTAATAAAGTTGTGTTTGTACAGTGTTAATAAAGTTTTGTGTTTGTACAGTGTTAATAAAGTTGTGTTTGTACCGTGTTAATAAAGTTGTGTGTTTGTACAGTGTTAATAAAGTTGTGTGTTTGTACAGTGTTAATAAAGTTGTGTTTGTACAGTGTTAATAAAGTTGTGTGTTTGTACAGTGTTAATAAAGTTGTGTGTTTGTACAGTGATAATAAAGTTGTGTTTGTATAGTGTTAATAAAGTTGTGTGTTTGTACAGTGATAATAAAGTTGTGTTTGTATAGTGTTAATAAAGTTGTGTGTTTGTACAGTGATAATAAAGTTGTGTGTTTGTACAGTGATAATAAAGTTGTGTGTGTTTGTGCAGTGTTAATAAAGTTGTGTGTTTGTACAGTGTTAATAAAGTTTTGTGTTTGTACAGTGTTAATAAAGTTGTGTTTGTACCGTGTTAATAAAGTTGTGTGTTTGTACAGTGTTAATAAAGTTGTGTGTTTGTACATGTTAATAAAGTTGTGTTTGTAATGTGATAATAAAGTTGTGTATTTGTACAGTGTTAATAAAGTTGTGTGTTTGTACAGTGATAATAAAGTTGTGTTTGTACAGTGTTAATAAAGTTGTGTGTTTGTACAGTGATAATAAAGTTGTGTTTGTACAGTGTTAATAAAGTTGTGTGTCTGTACAGTGTTAATAAAGTTGTGTTTGTACAGTGTTAATAAAGTTGTGTCTGTACAGTGTTAATAAAGTTGTGTTTGTACAGTGTTAATAAAGTTGTGTTTGTACAGTGATAATAAAGTTGTATGTTTGTACAGTGTTAATAAAGTTGTGTGTTTGTACAGTGATAATAAAGTTGTGTGTTTGTACAGTGATAATAAAGTTGTGTGTTTGTACAGTGTTAATAAAGTTGTGTGTTTGTACAGTGTTAATAAAGTTGTGTGTTTGTACAGTGTTAATAAAGTTGTGTGTTTATACAGTGTTAATAAAGTTGTGTGTTTGTACAGTGTTAATAAAGTTGTGTTTGTACAGTGTTAATAAAGTTGTGTTTGTACAGTGATAATAAAGTTGTGTGTTTGTACAGTGTTAATAAAGTTGTGTGTTTGTACAGTGTTAATAAAGTTCTGTTTGTACAGTGATAATAAAGTTGTGTGTTTGTACAGTGTTAATAAAGTTGTGTGTTTGTACAGTGTTAATAAAGTTGTGTTTGTACAGTGTTAATAAAGTTGTGTGTTTGTACAGTGTTAATAAAGTTGTGTGTTTGTACAGTGATAATAAAGTTGTGTTTGTACAGTGTTAATAAAGTTGTGTGTTTGTACAGTGTTAATAAAGTTGTGTTTGTACCGTGTTAATAAAGTTGTGTGTTTGTACAGTGTTAATAAAGTTGTGTGTTTGTACAGTGTTAATAAAGTTGTGTTTGTACAGTGTTAATAAAGTTGTGTGTTTGTACAGTGTTAATAAAGTTGTGTGTTTGTACAGTGATAATAAAGTTGTGTGTGTTTGTACAGTGATAATAAAGTTGTGTGTTTGTACAGTGATAATAAAGTTGTGTGTGTTTGTGCAGTGTTAATAAAGTTGTGTGTTTGTACAGTGTTAATAAAGTTTTGTGTTTGTACAGTGTTAATAAAGTTGTGTGTTTGTACAGTGTTAATAAAGTTGTGTGTTTGTACAGTGATAATAAAGTTGTGTGTTTGTACAGTGATAATAAAGTTGTGTGTGTTTGTACAGTGATAATAAAGTTGTGTTTGTATAGTGTTAATAAAGTTGTGTGTTTGTACAGTGATAGTAAAGTTGTGTGTTTGTACAGTGATAATAAAGTTGTGTGTTTGTACAGTGTTAATAAAGTTGTGTTTGTACCGTGTTAATAAAGTTGTGTGTTTGTACAGTGTTAATAAAGTTGTGTGTTTGTATAGTGTTAATAAAGTTGTGTGTTTGTACAGTGATAGTAAAGTTGTGTGTTTGTACAGTGATAATAAAGTTGTGTGTTTGTACAGTGTTAATAAAGTTGTGTTTGTACCGTGTTAATAAAGTTGTGTGTTTGTACAGTGTTAATAAAGTTGTGTGTTTGTACATGTTAATAAAGTTGTGTTTGTAATGTGATAATAAAGTTGTGTGTTTGTACAGTGTTAATAAAGTTGTGTGTTTGTATAGTGATAATAAAGTTGTGTTTGTACAGTGTTAATAAAGTTTTGTGTTTGTACAGTGTTAATAAAGTTGTGTTTGTACCGTGTTAATAAAGTTGTGTGTTTGTACAGTGTTAATAAAGTTGTGTGTTTGTACAGTGTTAATAAAGTTGTGTTTGTACAGTGTTAATAAAGTTGTGTGTTTGTACAGTGTTAATAAAGTTGTGTGTTTGTACAGTGATAATAAAGTTGTGTGTGTTTGTACAGTGATAATAAAGTTGTGTTTGTATAGTGTTAATAAAGTTGTGTGTTTGTACAGTGATAATAAAGTTGTGTGTGTTTGTGCAGTGTTAATAAAGTTGTGTGTTTGTACAGTGTTAATAAAGTTTTGTGTTTGTACAGTGTTAATAAAGTTGTGTGTTTGTACAGTGTTAATAAAGTTGTGTGTTTGTACAGTGTTAATAAAGTTGTGTTTGTAATGTGATAATAAAGTTGTGTGTTTGTACAGTGTTAATAAAGTTGTGTGTTTGTACAGTGATAATAAAGTTGTGTTTGTACAGTGTTAATAAAGTTGTGTGTTTGTACAGTGTTAATAAAGTTGTGTTTTTGTACAGTGTTAATAAAGTTGTGTTTGTAGAGTGTTAATTAAGTTGTGTGTTTGTACAATGTTAATAAAGTTGTGTTTGTACAGGTTTAATAAAGTTGTGTGTTTGTACAGTGTTAATAACGTTGTGTTTGTACAGTGTTAATAAAGTTGTGTTTGTACAGTGTTAATAAAGTTGTGTGTTTGTACAGTGTTAATAAAGTTGTGTTTGTACAGTGTTAATAAAGTTGTGTGTTTGTACAGTGATAATAAAGTTGTGTTTGTACAGTGTTAATAAAGTTGTGTGTTTGTACAGTGTTAATAAAGTTGTTTGTACAGTGTTAATAAAGTTGTGTGTTTGTACAGTGTTAATAAAGTTGTGTGTTTGTACAGTGATAATAAAGTTGTGTGTTTGTACAGTGTTAATAAAGTTGTGTGTCTGTACAGTGTTAATAAAGTTGTGTGTTTGTACAGTGTTAATAAAGTTGTGTTTGTACAGTGTTAATAAAGTTGTGTGTTTGTACAGTGTTAATAAAGTTGTGTTTGTACAGTGTTAATAAAGTTGTGTGTTTGTACAGTGTTAATAAAGTTGTGTGTGTACAGTGTTAATAAAGTTGGGTGTTTGTACAGTGTTAATAAAGTTGTGTGTTTGTACAGTGTTAATAAAGTTGTGTTTGTACAGTGTTAATAAAGTTGTGTGTTTGTACAGTGATAATAAAGTTGTGTGTTTGTACAGTGTTAATAAAGTTGTGTGTTTGTACAGTGTTAATAAAGTTGTGTTTGTACAGTGTTAATAAAGTTGTGTGTTTGTACAGTGATAATAAAGTTGTGTGTTTGTACAGTGATAATAAAGTTGTGTGTTTGTACAGTGTTAATAAAGTTGTGTTTGTACAGTGTTAATAAAGTTGTGTTTGTACAGTGTTAATAAAGTTGTGTGTTTGTACAGTGTTAATAAAGTTGTGTGTGTACAGTGTTAATAAAGTTGTGTGTTTGTACAGTGTTAATAAAGTTGTGTGTTTGTACAGTGTTAATAAAGTTGTGTGTTTGTACAGTGTTAATAAAGTTGTGTGTCTGTACAGTGTTAATGAAGTTGTGTTTGTACAGTGTTAATAAAGTTGTGTGTCTGTACAGTGTTAATAAAGTTGTGTTTGTACAGTGTTAATAAATTTGTGTTTGTACAGTGTTAATAAAGTTGTGTGTCTGTACAGTGTTAATAAAGTTGTGTTTGTACAGTGTTAATAAAGTTGTGTGTTTGTACAGTGTTAATAAAGTTGTGTGTTTGTACAGTGATAATAAAGTTGTGTGTTTGTACAGTGATAATAAAGTTGTGTTTGTAATGTGATAATAAAGTTGTGTATTTGTACAGTGTTAATAAAGTTGTGTTTGTACAGTGATAATAAAGTTGTGTTTGTACAGTGTTAATAAAGTTGTGTGTTTGTACAGTGTTAATAAAGTTGTGTGTTTGTACAGTGATAATAAAGTTGTGTGTTTGTACAGTGATAATAAAGTTGTGTGTTTGTACAGTGATAATAAAGTTGTGTTTGTACAGTGTTAATAAAGTTGTGTGTTTGTACAGTGTCAATAAAGTTGTGTGTTTGTACAGTGTTAATAAAGTTGTGTTTGTACAGTGTTAATAAAGTTGTGTCTGTACAGTGTTAATAAAGTTGTGTTTGTACAGTGATAATAAAGTTGTGTTTGTACAGTGTTAATAAAGTTTTGTGTTTGTACAGTGTTAATAAAGTTGTGTTTGTACCGTGTTAATAAAGTTGTGTGTTTGTACAGTGTTAATAAAGTTGTGTGTTTGTACAGTGTTAATAAAGTTGTGTTTGTACAGTGTTAATAAAGTTGTGTGTTTGTACAGTGTTAATAAAGTTGTGTGTTTGTACAGTGATAATAAAGTTGTGTTTGTACAGTGATAATAAAGTTGTGTGTTTGTACAGTGTTAATAAAGTTGTGTGTTTGTACAGTGATAATAAAGTTGTGTTTGTACAGTGTTAATAAAGTTGTGTGTCTGTACAGTGTTAATAAAGTTGTGTGTGTTTGTACAGTGATAATAAAGTTGTGTTTGTATAGTGTTAATAAAGTTGTGTGTTTGTACAGTGTTAATAAAGTTGTGTTTGTACAGTGTTAATAAAGTTGTGTGTTTGTACAGTGTTAATAAAGTTGTGTGTTTGTACAGTGATAATAAAGTTGTGTTTGTACAGTGATAATAAAGTTGTGTGTTTGTACAGTGTTAATAAAGTTGTGTTTGTACAGTGTTAATAAAGTTGTGTGTTTGTACAGTGTTAATAAAGTTGTGTGTTTGTACAGTGTTAATAAAGTTGTGTTTGTACAGTGTTAATAAAGTTGTGTGTTTGTACAGTGATAATAAAGTTGTGTGTTTGTACAGTGATAATAAAGTTGTGTGTGTTTGTGCAGTGTTAATAAAGTTGTGTGTTTGTACAGTGTTAATAAAGTTTTGTGTTTGTACAGTGTTAATAAAGTTGTGTTTGTACCGTGTTAATAAAGTTGTGTGTTTGTACAGTGTTAATAAAGTTGTGTGTTTGTACAGTGATAATAAAGTTGTGTTTGTACAGTGTTAATAAAGTTGTGTGTTTGTACAGTGTTAATAAAGTTGTGTTTGTACAGTGTTAATAAAGTTGTGTGTTTGTACAGTGTTAATAAAGTTGTGTTTGTACAGTGTTAATAAAGTTGTGTGTCTGTACAGTGATAATAAAGTTGTGTGTTTGTACAGTGTTAATAAAGTTGTGTGTCTGTACAGTGTTAATAAAGTTGTGTGTTTGTACAGTGTTAATAAAGTTGTGTTTGTACAGTGTTAATAAAGTTGTGTGTTTGTACAGTGTTAATAAAGTTGTGTGTTTGTACAGTGTTAATAAAGTTGTGTTTGTACAGTGTTAATAAAGTTGTGTGTTTGTACAGTGTTAATAAAGTTGTGTTTGTACAGTGTTAATAAAGTTGTGTTTGTACAGTGTTAATAAAGTTGTGTGTTTGTACAGTGTTAATAAAGTTGTGTGTTTGTACAGTGTTAATAAAGTTGTGTGTTTGTACAGTGATAATAAAGTTGTGTGTTTGTACAGTGATAATAAAGTTGTGTTTGTACAGTGTTAATAAAGTTGTGTGTTTGTACAGTGTTAATAAAGTTGTGTGTTTGTACAGTGTTAATAAAGTTGTGTTTGTACAGTGTTAATAAAGTTGTGTGTTTGTACAGTGATAATAAAGTTGTGTGTTTGTACAGTGATAATAAAGTTGTGTTTGTACAGTGTTAATAAAGTTGTGTTTGTACAGTGTTAATAAAGTTGTGTTTGTACAGTGATAATAAAGTTGTGTTTGTACAGTGTTAATAAAGTTGTGTGTTTGTACAGTGTTAATAAAGTTGTGTGTTTGTACAGTGTTAATAAAGTTGTGTGTTTGTACAGTGATAATAAAGTTGTGTTTGTACAGTGTTAATAAAGTTGTGTGTTTGTAATGTGATAATAAAGTTGTGTGTTTGTACAGTGTTAATAAAGTTGTGTTTGTACAGTGTTAATAAAGTTGTGTGTTTGTACAGTGTTAATAAAGTTGTGTTTGTACAGTGTTAATAAAGTTGTGTTTATACAGTGTTAATAAAGTTGTGTGTTTGTACAGTGTTAATAAAGTTGTGTTTGTACAGTGTTAATAAAGTTGTGTTTGTACAGTGATAATAAAGTTGTGTGTTTGTACAGTGTTAATAAAGTTGTGTTTGTACAGTGTTAATAAAGTTGTGTGTTTGTACAGTGTTAATAAAGTTGTGTTTGTACAGTGTTAATAAAGTTGTGTTTATACAGTGTTAATAAAGTTGTGTGTTTGTACAGTGATAATAAAGTTGTGTTTGTACAGTGTTAATAAAGTTGTGTTTGTACAGTGTTAATAAAGTTGTGTTTGTACAGTGATAATAAAGTTGTGTTTGTACAGTGTTAATAAAGTTGTGTGTTTGTACAGTGTTAATAAAGTTGTGTGTTTGTACAGTGTTAATAAAGTTGTGTGTTTGTACAGTGTTAATAAAGTTGTGTGTCTGTACAGTGATAATAAAGTTTTGTGTTTGTACAGTGTTAATAAAGTTGTGTGTTTGTACAGTGATAATAAAGTTGTGTTTGTACAGTGATAATAAAGTTGTGTTTGTACAGTGTTAATAAAGTTGTGTTTGTATAGTGATAATAAAGTTGTGTTTGTACAGTGTTAATAAAGTTGTGTGTTTGTACAGTGTTAATAAAGTTGTGTTTATACAGTGTAAATAAAGTTGTGTGTTGGTACAGTGTTAATAAAGTTGTGTGTCTGTACAGTGTTAATAAAGTTGTGTTTGTACAGTGTTAATAAAGTTGTGTTTGTACAGTGTTAATAAAGTTGTGTTTGTACAGTGTTAATAAAGTTGTGTTTGTACAGTAATCAATGAGCTCTGTGTCACTAACAGTTGCAGTTTGATTGACGGGTGAGTATCAGGATATTATTGGTTGAAATCAGTTAGTTCATGCTGACGTAAGCTCACATCACATTTAGTTTTACAGGAAGATAAAATGATTTGATCATGATATAGAAATACAAAGAAACATAGTTTTTGTAAATGTTCTGGCAGACATTGTTAAACATTTAAAAAATATATACTGCATCAGGTTCCATCTTTTGGGTCCACAATTTTAGACCAGTTAAAGAGTTCGGTCTAGACCTGCTCTATTTGAAAAGTGTCCTGAGATAACTTCAGTTATGAATTGGCGCTATACAAATAAAATTGAATTGAATTGAATTGAATTGAATTGAATTGAATTAAAACCTCTAGACTGGTTCATGGATTTGACTGGCTGGCTGGTTACCTCCTCCTCCTCCTCCTCCTCCTCCTCCTCTTTATCCTCCAGCCTCTCTTGCCAGTAGTTTCGGAGGCTTTGGAAGGAGATCGCTCCTCCATCAGGGCAGCTGTGGTCTTGTGGGTGTTTGTGCCACTCCAGCAGTGGTGGTACGGCCCGTTCCTCTTCCACCGCCCGTTCGAGCTCCGCCAGTGTCTTCAGTGGCAGCGTTGCTATGGCAATGTAGTAAAAGAGCCTCTGGCTGACGGCGAGAGCGCACGCCGACCCTGCATGGCCATCAAACACACCAAACTGCACGCCACCACAGCCCGGCAGGCAGGTGGCGCTACTCCGACGATCCTCACCAGGGTGGTTGGATGGCAACATGTTGCTATGGAAACCCAGGACACCATGGGAGGCAGGTCCTCTGGGGAAGGTGCGGCTGTATTCGTTGGCCTGGCAACAGAAGACAGATCAGTTTGACTGGTAGGTTGACTGACACCTTGAATGACTGATTCTCTCACCTTTAAGATGCGATTGATCTGAGCCAAGCTCATCTGTTCCGCCTCCTGCCCAGACCTGTACTTCCTGCTCCCACTGCCTGCTGGGTAATGGAGTCTGGAGAGCTCAGATGGAGGTAGAGAGGAGGAGAGGGAGCGGCACTGCTGGAGTTCAAACCTACAACGTCCAGTGAGGGTTCTTGTTCTTCCCAGCATGGCTGCTCACTGCGCAGCAAGCAGGAGAACCAGAAGGAGAACCAGCAGGAGAACCAGAAGGAGAACCAGCAGGAGAACCAGCTGAATCAAACCTGGAGAAGAACCAAAGGAAACATCAGCAGAGATCAACAGATCTACCCACCTCAATTCTGACCAGAACTCTGAAGGATCACGTAGGACTAACGGCTCTGGATAAAAGATTAATGAAGCTGAAACTTACCACGTGTTTGATGATGTGTTTAGTTCCTCACTTCAGTTGAAGGTATATCTGGGACCTGGAGCTGGTTCCTGAAGCTGTACCTGTACAGGTGTGTCACTGACTGTTGTTTGTATGTTCTTACAAACCGCTGTGACCTTTGACTGCTTTCATATCTCAGTAATCAGTGAACCATAAAGCCCCGCCCCCTCACTGTGAACCACTGAGAGAGGGAGGGAGAGAGAGAGAGAGACAGAGAGAGAGAGAAAGAGAGAGAGACAGAGAGGGAGGGAGAGAGAGAGAGAGAGACAGAGAGAGAGAGGCAGAGAGAGACAGAGAGAGGGAGGGAGAGAGAGAGAGAGACAGAGAGAAAGAGAGAGACAGAGAGAGAGAGAGAGAGAGAGGGACAGAGAGGGAACGTAAAAAAAAACCTTAGAAAAACTTTAAGGAAGTTATCCAATGAAAAGCATAGAGACTCAGATAACCAACATATGCTGTCAATATGAGGCCACTCTGAAACAATACAAGTACACCCTAAAAACAAAGAAAGGACAACACAGCAAGAACCAGCTCTGTGATATTGAGGAATCCCTTGAATCCAACCAGTTCTGGGAGAAATGGAACAACCTAAACAAAACCCAGCAGGATGAATTGGAGATCCAAGATGGAAATACTTGGATTAATCACTTTAGTGAATTATATAGTAATATTACAAAAAATGATGATCAGTACAAGATATTCACAAAATGGAAAACTCTCCCTCCCTGAACATCTGTGAAAACCCCAGTCTGTGGACACTGTTAAAAAAGGGCTTAAAACTTTTTTGTTCAGGCAGGTGTTCTTAAGTTGTCCTTAGATTTTTCTAATTTCACTCTGCACTTTAACTCCTCTTTTAGCTGTTTTTCTTAATGTATTTTATCACTTGTATTATTATTGGTTGCTGATTTTAATGTGTTAATGGCCTTTGTGTTTTTTGTTATTTTGTGTTTTTCTTGGTTTCTGTAGCACTTTGAGATTCTTTTATGAAAAGTGCTTTACAAATAAAATGTTTTTTTTATTATTATTATTATTATTATTATTATTATTATTATTATTATAAGGTTTGCAGCAGCACCTTAATCTCCTGCAGAGATTTTGTCAGACCTGGGCCCTGACAGTAAACACAGCAAAGACTAAGATAATGATCTTTCAGAAACAATACAGAAATCAGGTTACACACAATTTCTATTTAGACACCACTAAATTACAACATACAAAAAACTACACTTACCTTGGCCTCAACATTACATACACAGGAAACCTCAACATGGCTGTGAAAGATCTGAGGGACAAAGCAAGGAGAGCTTTCTATGCAATAAAGACAAACATTAAAATCTATATTCCAATTGAAATCTGGTTTAAAATTTTCCAATTTGTACTCGAACCAATAATTCTATATGGCAGTGAAATTTAGGGACCAAAACTAAATAATGAATTTGACAAGTGGGACGAAACAATCATAGAATCTTTCCACAGCGAGTTCTGTAAGAGCATCCTGCAGGTGCAGAGAAAAACACCAAATAATCTGTGCAGAGCAGAGCTCGGCCAATACCCCCTCCTACTAAAAATACAGAAAAGATCAATAAAATTTACAATCACTTAAATCAGTTGACCCCCAGACATACCATCACAAAGCCCTAACATACCAGGAGCTGAAACCAGAGAAGAGTCCCCTCAGCCAGCTGGTCCTGAGGCTCTCTGCAGTAACATGTCCCCAACAGCCTCAGGACAGCAACACCAACTCAATCAGACCAAACCAAATTATCAACAAGCAAAAAGAAAATATATTGAATACTGGAAAGAAATGACCAAATCACAAAGTAAATTACAATGTTATCTGACCCTAAAAAGAGGATTCACACTGGCAAATTACCTGAGCACAATAAAATGTCCTGAACTAAGAACAATGTTGACAATGTACAGACTGAGTGAACACAGCCTGGCCATAGAAACGGGTCGCCACAGACAGAACTGGCTACCAGAAGAGGAGAGACTCTGCTCCCAGTGTGACAGAGGACAGGTAGAGACAGAGCTGCACTTTCTAACCTCATGCCCTAAATTCAAAACTTTAAGAGAAAAACAATTCGCAAACATTTCCCAAATATACCCCGAATTCGAATTATTATCAGACACACAGAAACTCCCCTATTTACTGGGAGAAATGCCCAAAAGTCAAATTATTGCAGCAAAATATGTCTCCTCATGCTACGAACTGAGGACAACCAGTAGTAGTAGTAACTTTTTTTCTTCTTCTTTGTTATTACTGTTATATTGACAACAGACTACTTGTTTTAACTGTAGTTACTTTACTACTGTTTTAATGACATTTTTAGTTAACACAAACTGATTGATTCATTCATTGTAATTAATTACTTATTGACTGAGATTGATTGATTGTGACTGTTATTGTGGTTGAGTCAATCATAGTTACAGTATTACCAACAGTATAGATTATAATTCATTTATTGTTAATATTGTTTTCCTTTATTGTTATTATTATTATTTTTAATTCCAAACACTTGCTTTGGCAATATGTACAGTGTTACATCATACAGAGAGAGAGAGAGAGAGACAGAGAGAGAGACAGACAGAGAGAGGGAGAGAGAGACAGAGAGAGACAGAGAGACAGACAGAGAGAGAGAATATATATATATATAAATATATAGAATTGTTCACACTCCGATACCTGTGGAACATATACTATCATATGTGATATGTATTAATATAAACCATGTTGATATTATATATTGTATTTATACAATATATTATTAAATTAATAATAATTATATATTATATTTATTTATATTTATATATAATATTATTATATTACAATATTACAATATATAATATGTTATATATTGTATGTATATCTTTCTTGTATGGTCAAGTATCTATTATACATATGGTATATTCAATTCAATTCAATTCAATTCAATTTTATTTGTATAGCGCCAATTCATAACAGAAGTTATCTCAGGACACTTTTCAAATAGAGCAGGTCTAGACCGAACTCTTTAACATTAATTACAGAGACCCAACAGTACCACCATGAGCAAGCACTTGGCGACAAGGGCAAGGAAAAACTGCCTGTTAAAAGGCAGAAACCTAGGACAGATCCTCCGGCTCTAGGTGGGTGGTCGTCTGTCTCGACCAGTTGGGGTGAGAGAGAGAGAGAGAGAGAGAGAGAGAGAGAGAGAGAGAGAGAGAGAGCGAGAGACAGACAGACAGACAGGTGCACAGCAACAACAGTATTGGCAATGGCAGTCAAGCAGGACCATGGCAGGAGGCTCCACCAGGATCCACGAGAACCTGCGAGACGAGAAAGCACAAGAACTCCGGGGAAGAAGTGAAGTTAGTAACATGCATTAAAGGGACATGAATGAGTGCAGAAAGAGAGAGGAAGAGAGTAGCTCAGTGCACCATGGGAAATCCCCCCGATAGTCTAGGCCTATAGCAGCATAACTAAGGGATGGTTCAGGACTCACCTGATCCAGCCCTAACTTTAAGCTTTATCAAAGTGGAATGTCTTAAGCCTACTCTTGAATGTGGAGAGGGTGTCTGCCTCCCGAACCACAACTGGAAGCTGGTTCCACAGGAGAGGAGCTTGGTAACTGAAGGCTCTGGCTCCTGTTCTACTTTTTAGAGACTATAGGAACCACAAGTAGCCCAGCATTCAGAGAACGTAGTGTTCTAGTGGGGTAATAGGGTACTATGAGCTCTTTAAGATATGAAGGGGCCTGACCATGAAGAGCTTTATAGGTGAGGAGGAGTATTTTAAATTCTATTCTACATTTTACAGGGAGCCAGTGCAGAGTAGCTAGTACAGGAGAGATGTGATCTCTTTTTCTAGTTCCTGTCAGTACTCGTGCTGCAGCGTTCTGAATTAATTGGAGCGTTTTAATGGACTTATTGGGGCAACCTGATAATAAAGAGTTGCAGTAATCCAGCCTTGAAGTAACAAATGCATGGATTAGCTTTTCTGCATCTGTCTGTGATAGT